GTGTGCGTGCGTGTGTATGTGTGTGCGCGTGCGCGCGCGTGTGTGTGTGTGTGCATGTGTGTGCGTGTGTGTGCGTGTGTGTGTTCGTGCATGCGTAGGGGCAGGGAAAGGGTGAAAGTGGAAGGGGGTGGTTGTTAGGTTTGATTTTTTATTTTTCTAATTGCTGTGGTTAAAGAAGATTTGCAGGGATGGTGTAATCGTTTGTGGTTTGAGATGCTCGTGTTTGAGAATAACATTTGTTTTTGTGCGCAAGTGTACGTTGACTTAGAGTGTGCATGTATTTGTCTTTGTGAGTGTGAGTGTGTGTGTGTGTGTGTGTGTGTGTGTGTGTGTGTGTGTGAGAGAGAGAGAGAGAGAGAGAGAGAGAGAGAGAGAGAGAGAGAGAGAGAGAGAGAGAGAGAGGGAGGGAGATGTATACATACAGACACGTACAGACAGACTTAATATAGCTGACACATACAGACAGACAGACGTATAAAAGACACATAGGGCCTACATACCGACCGACAGACACGTACATACAAACAGTGAAATTGAAATAAAAAGGAGGATAAACAACTAAAAACAAAAACAAAAATAAACAAAAAACATACAAACACACACATACACCAAACGAGACATTCTTATCCTCGCAAGACGCTGGATCGTGCTCTGCATGTTGCCACATTGCCACGATCGGTGAGATCAATCAATAACGCCAACAGAGACAGACTAAGCCACATTCTTGCCGTAACATTATTATTAAAAATAATATATCAGCCAGACGGCAGCGAAAAAAAAAACCCATACTCAACAGCAGACTCACAATGAAAGAATTTTTGCACTTCGGTCAATACATGAGATCGTTTTTTCCCCAACCCATGACCGAGAGGGGAAATCTGTGTGAGTCAGGCCGTCATCGATCTGGTAGACGCGTGCTGTTTGCAGTTGACGAGTTGTGAAATCCATACGACGGCATTCTCTGGTGTGTGAGTCACGAGTCCTTCCTCTTTATACTCTATCTGACCAGGTGGCTCCTTGTACTCACCTTTCGATTCCCACAGATGTCACCACGCACTTTTGCATGCTGGGTGCAGTCCAGTGTTGACGTATCATTATTTTGTGGTATTTTTCAGTGTCTGCTCAGAGATTCATGTCTTTGTGCGGTGTAGCTAGCTACACGTACGTCTGTAACTTTTGCGAGAAACTGCAAAGGTGCCAAGGGAGAAAAGGTTGTTTTTTGACAGCTTCCATTTGAGAAATGAAACAAACCTGTAGATCTAGTGTGCATTACTTGGTGGCATCCCAGGAAAAATGAGAACTGTTCAGACCAGTCGTATTCGCCAAATTTGAAAGTTTAGTTTACCACAATGGTTCATACACATACAGCAAAAGAAAACACTTTATATATATTACTGAAAACAATTATGATAAAATGTTTTATTTTACGCCCCTTTAGACTCAGAATATGGCACGCCAAAGCATAGGCATAAGCCAGCGTTCCTGGTCCGCATGCTCTTAAATATGTTCTAAAAAGATATCATATGCAAAGCTGATCTCACTCGGCCTCGATCCTCGGCCTCTTGCCTGGTATTGTGCTTACTTTACGCCCTTGTAAAAGCAGTAAGTAACATATTATAGGATATCGTCTTCGAACGTCAATCTCCGATAAGAATAAAGTGGTTAGAGGTACATGTAATAGAGAGCCTTGGACAGTTCCTAAACAAACGAAGTTCACAACTTATCACAGGCCAGCACAGTAGTCCAGCTTGGACAATGCCAACTGAGCTATTGGGAGATTTTACTCGACCTGACTACAACGTGCCTGTCTTCCTCGCTAGAGGAGTATGTCCACTTCTTCCATGCAAGCGTGAAAAAGTTCACTTTGAGTAGAAAAAAGGACATCGGCACGATAATTGTCATTTGGTTTAAATTTGAGAAAAAAAAACAGCCGTGAACAAGAGAAATAAACGATGGGGGGAAAGAAATAAGACCCATCAGTGATTCTCTCGAAGCACCCACTATTAATTATGACACATAAAAATAATGGCTTGCATCCATCTTGCAAACAACAACTCACTTCTCTTGTCCGCTAGCGCATTTTGGGTGGCCAGCGGCCGACGATCGGGGTCCCAATTCGATACTATAGGACTACATATATAAAATGCTGTCAGAACACCTTCATCCCGATGGCAACTTGTCAAACTGTCCAGAACGACGAACCTCTCGATTTAAAAGACGTGCCAGTGTACATGTAATATACTTTCCCTAAACTCAGACTCAAACTTCTGTTACCGGTGTCTGTGGTACAGCAGTTGTGCTTCGCTGTCGCACGCAGGATACAGAAGTTCAATTCCTTGCTAGGAGAATTTGTTATGGCATGGAGTATCAAGGCCTTTCTACAGCGATGTTGACGATAAAACAGGGTGTTCCATCCCCCATTTATCTCCTTTTCCTTTTAATTTTAGTATTAGGGTTCAGCCTGCCAGAGGATGTGGCTGTCCTTCATAAAGCAATGATCCGTGAGAAACTTACTCTTGCTTACACTTACAATTGCATTCATGGTCTTTCAAATTAATACTGGCCCTGTAATTGTTTGTCATTAAAAAAAAATTAAGTATCGGAAATGATTTTTAGGATTTTCAGGGTCGACAGCGTTCCAGACCCAGCATCACTATTATGATATTTCTTTAACGGGTTATGTTCCAGAGCACAGTTTCGAGAGGCAGTGCATGTACCGTCTGATTTAAAACGAAAGTACAATTAACACACGTAACAGAACCACTAAGAAACTCGTAGGTCACACCGTACGGAATCTGTATCTCTTTGTGTATCCTCTCACTTCCTGCAAGAATATCCAGTCAAGAGATATTGATCTATCGCTATGATCTGAGCATCTGTTCCTGTAATTGACGAAGTAAAATAAGAGTTTCGTTGCTACTGCTACATACAACACAATACACAATTTATTCACGCTGAGCGGCCCTGCTGCATGTAACGAAAATTTGTTTTTAAAAAAAGAAATTGGACGATCTATGCTAACGCTATATATCGACAAATCGTTACGTGAAACAAAATTGTTTAAAAATTGAAAGATCGGACGATGAGTTGCAGACCAGCTTGAGAAATCAAGCACCACCTGATATTTTTTGTGAGATGTGGGTCAGATCTGGGAGAGACGACCCGGGATGCAGGATCCCTTTGAAATTTGTCACCACGCGGGATAAAACTTCCAGGCAGCTTTAAGAAAATAATTATCTATCGTAGCTAAAAACAGACTTCATTTTTTTCGGAATCGGCTTTATCCATCAACGAAATGGCTCCAACAGAACCCGAATTGATTCAATATCTAAACTTCAACAAACATTTAATTTCGGTTGATAGCGCGAAGTCATGTAGGCTACATTTCAATGTCACCTAGATCTATTGTGTTGCTCATTTGACGTGAAGAAAGCTACCTCAGCGCTGCACATTCCCTGAGCCGCATGGCAAGTAATCAGAAATCATCCCGTATCAAAGATGATCTCTGTAGTGTTAAACCCTTCTTCAAAAGATGAGAGAGAGAGAGAGAGAGAGAGGGGGGGGGGGATAGATAGAGAGCATTCTGAAACATTTATATATATCACAGTCTTGTTTAATGTAACTTAAGTTTTGTAGATGGAGAGTGGGGGGGGGCGCTAAATTAAAAAAAAAAACACGTGTAACCTAGATCCAGTGGGGTGTGGGTCGGAAACCGGACTCACCACGAAACCACAATGACGTCAGACAAAATCCAGAAAATAGGGTAGCATACTGAGAAAAGAAGGAGGAGAGATCTACTACTACTTAGGACAACAGGCAAGGTAGCTCAGAGAAGAAGGCGGCGTATAGAACACCAAACCAAGGACCCTACTGTGTAACCTCCTTGCACTAAACACAACCATGAGTGGTTTAGAATTCAATTGGCAATAGGCTTATACTAGTCTAATGAAAGAGTAATAGAAATTAGAATTAAATGCAGACAATACTCGAATGTACCGAACTGACAGTAATAAGTGACACGTTAAATCAATGATAAATGTTACAGATGAACTAATTAAAACTGATACATTAACAACAGTGTAGTTTGCATTGAACCTGTCCTTCCTTTGTAAGAAACACAGAGGCCATTTGGCAAAGAAGCCGTCATAAAGATTGCAAGCCAGCGTGATAAACAAAGGTGAAGGAACGAGTCTCTGTAGTCTGTAGTCGACGACACAACGGTGAACCTCTGTTGTGTCTCTGAGTTTGATTTTGAGCGCCTTCAAATCAGCAAAGTGCGTTTATGTTATTAGTAATATTAGCCTGGATTTACTTGAAACTGAATGAAGAGTAATCAGCCAGCAATCAATCTCCTGTCCACCATCCAGCCAACAAAATGTGACCGCACTGCCGGTCTTATCCAGTGAAAGAACTGCCCCTGATCCCTTTTAAACTAATGTAATTTCGCCCCGACATACCGCCAGAGGTACACACTGCATACAAAACACAGACTTTCTCGATTTATACGGCCCTGTGTTGATTCTGCAAGGCAATATTCAGGGACCAAGGAGCAGAGGCAGACCGAAGAAGAGTTGGGAGGACAACATCAAGGAATGGAAAGGCCTGAAACTCAAAGACACGCTCAGGAAAGCTGAAGAGCGGAAGGAGTGGAGGAAGCTGGTGGCCAAATCTTCAAAAGCGCCCCGACGGACTTCCAGTCTACGGGATAGGTAAAGGTGAAGTGTGAAGGTGAATGTATCTGAAAATTTGTTTTCTCTTTAATATTAATTGAAAAAACACAAATTCTGCTCGTACCTTGCCTTAAAATTGGGCTGCTCGAATAAAAAATGTAATCAGATTTTAAGTGCAGTTGAAACCGACGGTTCGGCCTCCCGGTTTAGCTTTTTTCTAGCAGTTTTTCATCCACATCTGCGGTTCTGCCTCCAGGTTTGCCTTTCACTTTCATTTAGAACCGGCAGTTTGGAACGTACATGATTGTGTAGGGCCTCTAAAAGTAAAAGTGAAGAGGTTCGGTTTCTTTCTTTTTTTAAAATATTGATTCCCCGGAGGTGGGGTTTTGTGTGTGTGGGGTTAGGGTTTTCGCCTCCCATTCAAATTCAAAGGTCATGGCGGAAAAATTTTCTTTTCTAAAATTGTCTCTTTTTACCTCCTTTCCGGCTCTACTCTCTAGCCATATTCTGTCGTCTGCTTTCGTCTCCACTTTCTGACCCCGTCCCCTTTGCCCCCTCCTCTGGGCTCCTGGCTCTTTCTGCTTCTCCGTGGCTCCGTACACTGCTGTCTTTCAGTTCAGCCACACCCCTGATCTTCTGGTAGGAAAGATCCACACCTAGTACCTAGCCTTCTCGGATAAGGGCGAATAATCTCGGAAGTCCCTTGTGCAAGTTGCGCACGTTAAAGATCCCTTGGTGGTCCAAAATCGAAGAGTAAGAGTAGGCTTCGGCCGCCACCCAAGCAAAATTCAAAATTTCCTACCAACATAAAATGTGTTAGATGTGTCCCGCGCGCTCATATGACCTTATGCTGTTGCGAGTGCGGTAAAACACTACTACTACTACTACAAAAAAAAGAATCAACTAAAAACGTATGCCAGAGATAGAGATACACAGCAACATAACTAGTTTGGTAAACAGTAATATGTCACTGATTAAAAGTGACATAGGCGTGCATTTGAACTAATCGGACCTTTTGCACATTGTGCGCTTGAAAAAGCTGTGTATTTCCCTAGAATGTTCCAATATTTCTTCGGTTTGGCACTTTAAAAAAAAAGAAAATGCCTTTCATTTGAAATCAATCTACTTTTGATTGGGGAAGTCGAATACATTAGAACCATTTATTACTCGCCCTGTGTCTGTTTTTTATCTACACAAAAACCAAATGTTTGCTATAAATAACGAACACTCGAATTCAACGAAATTGAAGGTCAGGCCCGACGACTTAGTTGAATCCGAGTTCCACACTACATGATGTAATTAGTTGCCACCATACTCGTTTTTCCCCAGCCCATGGTAATTCCGCAACTCTAGAGGTCTAGAGGTAGCAGCAAGACTGGCTACAGTTCGTCTCTAGTCTCCATCAGTCTACCACCACTTTACTTTTCAAGAGAGAGCAATCAATGGCATCCTGTTTACCGCCAACTTCATGCTCAACCCAAGGTAGGCCTATATATATGATGAGGTTTGACTGTGTGTCGGTACTCAGGAGTCAACTTATGTACAGTCAAGTCTTCAAAACCAACAGCTGAGCAAGTCAGTGCCTTGCTGCTGAGCTGACACTGGAAAGACATGACATGGTATATGTGTCTAAGTCTAACTCTAGTCTCGTGGAGAGGACTTTTCCTTTAAAGCTGTGCTGAGTGGGTGGTTGGTGGATGCTCTGGTGTGGTATACTCCTTTCCCAACAAAAGCTATCATCATTTCATCCTTTTCTGCAATCTTGGGCACTTGTGTTGAATGTATTACATAATTTGTGTTGCAAAACTTTTGTTGCAGTTTGAGCAGGGATAAACTCTGGAACACAAGACAGAGGGACCTCGAAGAAATAACTCCATGAAGCTTAATCTGGCACAAAGTATCTAAGGCAGCAGTCACAGTCCACTTATCGTAGTTGCTTCATTCAATTGCTGAGCCTTCTTTACTTTAAAACAGCAACACTAAAACCAGTGATAGTTCAATAAGTATGGGCACTGGGCAGGGTCTTGATCTTGCCACAATAAATTTTAAAATTATAAGTTATTATTAGGTCTTATATGATACAAGTACAAGTGCTTTGAAATTAGAGGCGTTACAGTTACAAAAGAGTAAGAACAAAAAAAAAAGGAGAGATAAGTACGGTATGATGACAGTTGATCAGTAAGGAGTAAACCCAACCAACTAGGACAGACAGAAATCAAAAGAGGGAAAGAATAGGACCTACCAGTGACACCCTTTAACTTTAAGCAACCCACCTAATGGCTATAGATGGAAAGAAAGATATATAGTAAGAGTTTTACAGCACTTGCAACACAAGGTCATACAAGTGCCGAAGAACAGGGGTTACAAGAAGAGAGTAACAAACACAAAAAAGGAGAGATCAGGACGATAGATGTTTGATAGGAAAGAAGGAGTAAACCACACAAGGGCACCCGCCAACCACCCTCATACATTGGAAAGCCAGTGAAAGTATCCAAGACAAGAAAACGTGTAGATATCATTTCTACAACTACTCTAGATGTTTAGTAAGAGTTTTATGGCACTTGCAACACAAAAAGGTCATATAAGTGAACAAGAGAGTAACAAACAAAAAAGGAGAAAGGACGATAGCTTTGATAGGAAAGAAGCAAACCACACCAGAACACCCACTCTACTACTTTGAAAAAAATTGAAGGATATGGAGTGAGAGGAAGATTAATAAGACAAAATACCACAATAACCCAGAAAAAAAAAGCAAGGATCAGATCTCAACAGCTTTTAACCATCCACATACAGGGTGGTGTACGAAAACGACACATTGAAGAAAAATCCAGCAAGTGTCTAGTTTCAGCCACTTGAACAGGTTCGATCAGGATTTTTAAAAATGCAGCAATGGGCAAATGTCTATATTTTGGCTTCCTGAGAAACTATTCACATTACGAATGACTTGAAAAAAACCCAACACAACCCTCTCACTGCGGTTCGATCTGGTCTTCGTAATGAGGATTATCACTTTGAATACTATGCCTAATAAGTAGAAATGATCCTTAACAGAGCCTGTGATTGAACCAGAAAACAGACAACAGAGCTGACAATCACCAAAAAAAAAAAGGGGTACTGCATAAACTAAAGAAACCAATTTCATAAAGCACAAGACAAATTTTATTACACAAATTTGGCAGTAGTTCACAAAAACAGGGAAAGATAAGTGAAAGGCAACAAAGCATCTTTGAATGAAACAATAGAATGAGCATTATCTCGCATGAATGTCTGGTACATGACAAAAAAAATGAACACTGCTTTTTTTGCACTTTCCCGCGAGGCATCAACTTCTTTCGGGTAAAAAAAATTAATAAATGCGACTAGACGAATACAATCAACAAGTAACAAAAGATAAAAGCAAGATTAGTCAAGGAAGAAGAGAGACAAAAAAAGCAACTGCCACATAAAAAAAAACAACAAACAAAAAACATTGTGAGCACCATCTATCAGTGCTGTCTGTTAAGCCTTGAAGACACAGCACAGGACAACCAAAAGATTTGTTTAAAAAATTGCAGGAGTATTTCGCAACCCTATTGTGTACATTTGTTCTTTTTTGTCTTCAAGACATTAACCCACAAAAACGAGAAATGAGATGAATCAAGATTCGTACAAAAATGAGAAAATTCCTTTGACATCTAACCCTTTCAGCTAAATTGACAGACATTTTGCTCCCAATGAACCTGAGTAAAGAGGAGACCCTCGTTCTATCCACACGCTATAGCAGTCTTGCTGATGACGGTAACATGTGCTGAGGAGATCAACTCTTTTTGACTCAGCTTAAATGCAGTTTGTGGGTAGTTTATGCGTACTCTTCTCCCCCTTCGTCTCCTTCTTCCTCGTCGAACTCTCCCTCATCCTCGGCAGTGGCATCCTGGTACTGCTGGTACTCAGAGACCAAGTCGTTCATGTTGGACTCAGCTTCTGTGAACTCCATCTCATCCATGCCCTCTCCGGTGTACCAATGGAGGAAAGCCTTACGCCGGAACATAGCTGAAGTGGAAAAAAGGATACATTAACGACTACCGGAGTTCAAAAACAAAAAGCCCTAAATTACCTCACCTCTGTGCGTCAGATTCCCCCCGATTTGACAGAAGAGAGGAATCATTGACCCCATAACAGTGGGCCTACAATTTTAAGTTGATACAGAAATAAGCTCCTGTATGAAATTTGCAACACACAGCAAAGGAACTTTTAAAAAGAAACAAATTTGACATTCACAAAAATACTGATCACACTCCTAAAACCACAAACATATATACTAGTTTTTATTCTAAAACAAGCAATGGCCAATTTTTTATAATGGGATGGCAAATTTATCAGCAGTTTCATACCGAAGAGAAGACAAAATCCAACCCC